AGCACTGAAAGTGAATATCATCCAGCTAGAATGGTGGGGGTACTGGCTCACCTGATACTGTTGTTTGGCTTTCAACATTAAGTTCAATGTTAAGTTTTACTAAAATCAAGGTCCAGCACCTTAGAAAAGTGTATAAGAATAACATAATAGTGAAGAGTTAAAATATAAACAATAAAAGACTGTACTGTAAAGTGTTTCAACAATATAATACTGTGCAACAAGAGAATAACCAATATGCAGCTATTGACATTTTTACAGTAATGGATATTTGGAAAAATAGCAGCAACATCAGAGATGTGCAAAATGACAGCAGCATGTTATTTAACTTAGACACCGTGCAAAATCAGCATGAGTGTAACAACTTGGTGAGGTTGTTGGGAACAGTGGTGGTTATAGTCTTACAGCTGCTGGGAGGAAGGATCTGTGATAACGCACCCTGGGTGTCTAAGCTACAAAGTGTCTAAGGGAGAGGAGTTGTTTATCCTATAAGGGAGTGTTTGAGATAAAAAGAATCATGCTCATAACAAGCTAGACCTTTCTTAGGGTTTTATTCATAACATTTGACTGTTTTTGCCACCTGTCTGTAGTGTTTTGATTAATTGTATGTGGAGATATTCACAGCCTTTCTGCAGGTTTACGTTAGTGAGAGGAATAAACAGAACAGGACACAACGATGAGCTATAAGGCTGCTATAATTTGTCTTGTTCTCTCTTTGCAAAGATCGATGATAAAAATGCAGACTAGGAGATTAGGCTAGGCGTGCAGGCCGCCACATACTGAAGGTGCGCTGTCGCCGAGAATCCAACAGCCCGTTTTCCTCTTAAGGGATGTTAGTGTTTTTCATGTACCTGGCACAAACTGCAGGCACCAGAATAATAAAAGCGCACATATTTTGCCAGCAGGTTTTGATATTTTAAGCTAATTTATGTGTTAATAAACAGTTTCAGAGGACTGATCATAGCAATCTGCATCAGTAGTGCTGTCTGTCTACCTGACAGCTCGCAGATCAGATTCTTTGTTTGGTTGATGTTGTGCGTCGAGTAACAAAAGTTCAATTTTTTCCAACTCCAGCATCTGCTGCTTGTGAAATTTTGAACATTTGAGCAAAGATTGTAGGGGAAACGCAGGGCGTAAAATTTCGGATGTTTTTAGTAAAGGCCGTACAATGTACGTCCATACGCATTGTTAGCTTAAAGCCTGGTTTTAGGCTTTTAGATTCTTCGATATATTTTGTAAGAGTCGATTGTCGACCCCTTTGGTATACTTTGATTAAAAAGCAGAAGTTTGTTAGCCTTGAACTGGAAATATAACTGAATGGTCAAGAATACTTTAAGGAAGTTTGTCTTTGCACTACAAATTTTGAATGATAAACATGAGCTAATCCAGCACCTATCCAATAGGTTTTTGAGGTAGTTAAATATGCGTAGTGTTAGTTGCTAAAGTTAAACTTAGGGTCACTAGAACCGCAGATTTGCTTACTTCCTTCAAAACATGACCCTTTGCCTACTTTTTTTCTGTCTGGCCTTTAAAAAAAAGGTTTCTCTAATATTTTTCCTTCAGGATTAGTTTTAAAATGACTGAACTTTTCTTTTCAGTTATAGGAAAAATTGTTGTTTCCTCTCCTTTGGTCATACACAATGAGTGAGTGACAGCTTGCAGCAACAGGCATGTGCAGGAAAGGGTTTTTTTCACCTTCCTTCACCTACTGCAGCATCTCGTTGAAAATATTTTTAGCTCTAACAATAGCATGATGCAAACATTTTGCCCTTTTGAAACTAGGACTGATTGAAACTGCAGTGTACCTTGAAGTCAGAAACTGACCCATTTCTAGTGTTGAGTGTCCTATTTATCCTGTGATCTTGAAGTAGACCTACAAACGCTACACCGATAGCATCAGCCTGAATATAGGCCAGACTGGTCCTGTAATTACTAAAGTACAGTAATCTTCAGGGTTGGAAAGAGCAGCTGTGCACCTGAAGTGTGTGTGTGTGTGTGTTTCTGTGCATGACTATACATTACATCATATAAGACAGGAACATTGGTTGCAACAGAGTGCCAAAAATGGAAACCCATTACAGTACCTCAGGTTCAAACTAAGTTATAAAGTTGTAATGCTTGTACAAAGTGCATTTTCTCCAGCGCTTTCAGGTTTAAATAGCCTATTTTGAAATAATTTGAACAGATTCCTGGCTTAAAAACAATATATCTGTAGAGGTTTTTTGTTGTTTTTTTGTCCTTTATAAGCAAAATCTAATGATGAAGTTTTAAAGCCACATTTGCCTAATAATAGATTAATTCTACATAATATAATAATGAGTAAATGATTGATCTTGCATGTTATTTTAGTGTGGATACTGTATGTAGATGCAGTGTGAAGAAGAATTTGTCTTGTTTTTCCTTCAAAGGGATTTTTTTTTTTTTTTTTACAATTCTCTTCAAGTCTAGAACCACTGTCAGAATTTGCCACTGTGTAGCAGAGAAAGCCCCAGAGCGGCACAGAAAAGCCGTACAATTTTTTCTTTCTGAATCACCTTTTCTGTATGTCAGGTTAGAGCTGTTTTGGTTATTTCATCCTTGTTTTGAAGAGGTGGGTGCTCCACAGGGAAAAGGTTATGTCATGTCTGTGCACCAGTCAGATCCTACTACCATGCTAGTCCTGAATTTTGTGACAGCTGGGGGTTTGTTGTCTTTCGTTTCCAGTCAGCTTAAATTAAATTTGATGAGGACAGCTCCTCTAAAGCAACGTTACAGAGTTTAAAAGAAGATTTTGTTGAACAACTGTTGCATCTAATTATGTCATTTATCAAAACCCCACAAAAGTCAGCGTTTAAATTTGAGTTGTGTATGGAATTGTGCATGGCTCTTCTATTTTAGCTTAAATAGCTCTCTACACAATTAAAGCTTAGAGTAAAAAAAAACACCAACCATTTACTGCCTAAACCCACTGCACAAGAACATTTTGCATCCTTTTTTATCTTCCCAGCATTTCACACTGCTGCAGTGAGAACACAATATTTAGCTCATGTTAAAAGGACAATATCCAGTTAATAGAGAAAGAAAAGTCCAGAAGCAAACATAAATTCATCTTGTATTATGCATTTTGTACCTATTATTGAGTATACTCAATAATTTTTGGCCAGTAGGCATTAGGTGTGTCAGCTTTTATCCTGTTTTATCATCAAAATGTAGAAAATCCAGACTGCAGTAAAGTATCCATTTAGTATGCTAAGCAGTTGGTACCAGTTATTGTATTTGGAGAATGATAATAATTATTATTAGTTAGAATTATTATAATAATAATTATTATTATTATTTTCAGTAATTTTACCTACTGAATAGAATAGAGATATCATTTATTATACTTTACCAGGTGGTTAACCTCTTAACATCCACCTCATTTTGGGTAATCCTTGCCTATTTTGCATACTCAAATGGAAAAGCAAATAACTTAGGAACTGTAAGCCCAAATTACATGTGCAATACATTATTTGAAAGCTAACATCCTCTAGTTTCCTAATATATAAAAATAAAATTCGGTGACTAGAACACAGACCAACCTACATCAGTTGTTTTTTTTTATTATCGGAAATGATAGGTCTTTTTTGTACAGCAGTAATAAAGACATTATTGAGAAAAGGCAGGTTTTATTGTATTATATTTATTCTACATCATGTCAACCACAAATGCAGAAAATGTCAGTCCTCTAGCTATAACAGTTCCAGAGCTGTGGAGTTTGGAACTTTTGATTTCAGCTTGGAGCTGTGCGCAATGGCTCCACCTGCTGGTAAAAATCTTACCAGTGAAATTTTATGCACTGTGCATTATTACGTCCACTGGGTCACCAGTGACCCGGTTTAAGCCTGGATTTCCCCATGAATTTGACAGACAAATGGAAGTACCTGAACATAGTTACAGCAATAATGTGGAAAAACAACAAAAACTAAAGCGTGCACAGTAAACTGAAGCACACCACACAAGAAAAAAATGGAATAGTATGTAAAAAAAAAAGCATGCTTAGAATCGAAAAAAATTGGGTGACAGAGGTGTAGTAATGTGCACTGCTGCAAGTGGAGGGTCGCTGGTTCAAATCACAACTCTGTTCGTTTCAGTCATCCTGTCCTTGGACTAGAAATTTCACCTACATTGCCTACTGATGGGGGTCAGAGGGCCCAGAGGTACCTGTTTATTTCAGCCCCACTTCTGTCTCTTTGCCCCAGGCAGCTGGGGCTACAATGCAGCCTGCCACTATCATGGTGTGAAACTATGTGTGAATGGGTGAATGACTAAATGAGGTTTTGGGTTCCCTGACTTACCACCCATTTACCAATTTTGTTAGATAATTATTAAAAAAGTTAAAAAAGGTGCTCTTTATAGTTGTGTAAAAATAAAAAACAAGGAAATCTGCAAATACTGTAAGAGTATGAATGTGAACAGCTTATTAAGTTTGCTTGGATGGTGAAGGGGCTTCTTTATAAAAGGTCAAGTCATAGCGCTGCAATAAGAATAAGAGCTTATGATGTTGAAATGGTTAATGGCCTTCACACTCTGCTAATAGTAGGCTACATCGCAGCCACAGCTGCACTAGGGCAGACTGACAGAAGCAAAGCTGCCATACAATCAGTACCACAGATTCTCTGACCACCAACAGTAGAAAGGGTAGGTAAAGTGTTCTGCCTAGGGAGACAACGACTTAGATAGTTATTGGAGACTCCTTTGCCACTATTGTCCCATAACAAGGCATTACTAACTGATACTCAAAAAGAGCTATCTTATTTTTATATGCATTGACATGGCAAAGCAATCCAAAGTATGCTACAATACTTCATGTAGATCGTAAGAGATGATTCTTAATCAAATCTCTGATGTGGGACTGTACAAGCAAAACATTCAAACAATTTTAGTGCTACTTGTACTCTCTAATTGAGAGAATAAGCAGTGGTCGCATGTGTAATGAATAGGATCCAACTCTAGAGCCCTTTGTGACTGTTATCCTTTGCTTTCAGATCTTCAGGAGGTGTTGGTTGGTGTTTAAAAAGGCTTCCAGTAAAGGACCCAGACGCCTGGAAAAGTATCCAGATGAAAAGGCAGCCTACTTTAGAAGTTTTCACAAGGTAAGGGTGATTTATTTACTGTATTAACTATATTACTAATTGAGCCCTTACTGTTGTCTCGTTATTTTCTAAAAAGGCTCTCTACATCATGTTGATTTGTTTTGTATTTCATTGGAGAATAATGACATGGAGGTTTAGGTTAATAATGTTCCAGGGCCACAGCTTTTGCTCAAGTATAAGTTAATTGTTGCAAAAGGAGAGTTGTGGAGGAAACTAGGCATTTAATTAACAATCATTTATTGTTTATAAGTTAATTTCCACCCAAATCATGAACATTTCATGTGAAAACCCTAAAATGGGATTGAGCTTTGGTCTTATAAGACATCCCAAACTTGCTGAAGGACGGTTTTCGTGGATTATCCAACCCCAAAAATCTGCCACATTTCAGTATGGGATGTTTGTATGTGAATATGTTATGGTAACAGATATGCTTTTCTTGAGGTTGTGCATTACATTATTACCCTGTAGTGTGTTTACTAGTGATTGCTCTCAGTTTTCAGAATCACATTTAGCAGAGCAAACAGGACATGGTGTTACATAAAGTGACTTAACACAAGGGATACACTAGTTCTACTCCATGTTCTGGACACGTCTGGGTCTGCTGATTCTTGATGCACCGATTCCACCAACAGTCCAAGTCATGAGACTATTCTCTAAATTCTTGAATGAGATTAACTTCACAATAAAGCCATTCCCCGGCTGATAAAATTGGGAAAAATCACAACAGACTTATAAACAATGTCTATCACAGTTTTTAGTTATAGTATGCTTGTGAAGTTAATCAGTTGAAAGACGCAGCTGTATGTTTAAGAGCTTTACTATAAAGTGTCACTGATTTATATGCACATAAAACTACAAAATTAATCATTGTGTGTAAAGTTAAACGGTTCTTTAAAAAAAGTTTTTGAATGCTCTACAAACTTCTTATTTGAGCTTACGCTTTCAAATCTACAGCTCTGCTTTGAGTGGAGAAACCTATTATGCCGATGATGCTGGTGTGTTGACTATTCAATAATCAGGAAGCTGCATCATGTAGCAATTATATAGCCATGAAATTAGATATTGATATTCTACAAAGTATTATTTTTATTGATTTTGAAATGCCCTGACCCTTTGTTCACTGCCATCATTAGAAAACCATCTCTATTTAAGTATATATTAATATCACCAGTATCTGCTTCCCCGCAGCATACTGTGGGTACAGGTGGTACTTTTAGGAATTGAATGTGGATGCTTTTGTTTCACTCTGACTTCTCAAGTACAGAAAGCTCCTCAGGCAGCTGCCTCTGGCAAAAAGTCTAAATGCCTCTGACATAGACATGCAGAGCATAATTACCAGGCAACAGCCAGGAGTTTCATTTTGCAATTTGGCAAACTGCAGAAATTAATCAGGCTCGAGTGATAATATCAGCTGAGACCTCTTTGCCAACAAATAAATTAAGGTTAAGATTTTTTTTTTTATATTGGCAAAAAGTTCCTTGGAACTGTGCTAGCAGTTAAAGGAAGAAAAAAAATATCTCTATCTCTGTCTATCTATGTATCTATGTATCTATGTATCTATGTATCTATCTATCTATCTATCTATCTATCTATCTATCTATCTATCTATCTATCTATCTATCTATCTATCTATCTATCTATCTATATAGATAGATATATATATATAAACACGACTCCTTATACATGTAAATGCATTAAAATATTGACCATTCCATTTGAAATCAAAACATTAAGAATAAATGTGTTTTTACTTTAAAGGGGAAGAAAAATAAGGTTAATTGAAATATAAAGTATTTTACTTTTATTTTACTTTGAACAGCTAAATGTTAGACTGTATAAAAGGAAAAATCCTTAAACATTTAGCCTTTCAGTGAATGAACTTGTATACAGTAGCTCTGTACAACCACTGTTTCGGAGAATTGCATCAGTTTGACCACCTTCTGGCACTGGTGAACTGGTATTCTACCCCCAACATGACTAGAGTATGTTTTGACAGTTCATTTGCATTTTTCGCTGCTTTGTCTTTGAAATGACATGTTTAATTTCACCCCACAAGTTTGCTGTTGGATTAGGCTGCCTTCTCTATGACATTTTTATTTGGTGAAAACCAAGATGCTGCTTTCTTACTGGTGTGTTTGACAGATGTTATGTTGTTAAAGCGTGAATTTAATGGCAATTCCTCTTCAGCATAAAACCTTTTTAAGTATTAAGATTTATTCAAATTGTCTCCATAATCCTTGTTATGCAACAAATGGCTCGGACGCTATAGAATGAGCAACAGCCCTATATCATGCTTGATGTTATCATCAAGCTGCCTGCAGGTCCTATACCAAAATATATGTTTTTCAACCATTGGAATTATGGTTTTGTGTTTTTTCTTCAACATTTTTTGGCTTCTTTCTCCACTCAGGCACAGTGGATCATTTTTTGCAGCACCCTTTACAAATAATAATGTTTCCCCCTTCTTCTAATTAACTTTTTAACTAAACTACACTGATCCTGTTTCCTAATAGATTTGAAATAGATTATGGAAATTAAACTGATGAATTTAAATCTAAATCTTATATATTTTATTTTCAGAGGATTAAAATACATAATAAAACACATTTACACATTTTCTGATGCTGCAGGGATTTATGCTGTATATTATTCCCTGTGGGATTAATAAAGTATTTTTAAATTTCAATTGAACTCTAAATTTGTATAAATTCTTATGCAAAAACCAAAAATTTAATTTAATGCAACTTTAGAATGCAGGATAACTATTACAATGATAGATTAGGGTATATCTTTTGAAACGAGGAGAAAGATTCTGTGTAAAATATGTTTTCTAAAACATTAAAACATTCAGTCTTTGGTGATAAATCTTTGGGTATGATCAAAGTGTAACATGCAGACATGTAAGTGATATCAGTCTTAGCAATAGAGTGGATCCACTGAGAAATATAAGTAAAGTAAGTAATTAAACTTTATTTGTACTGTATAGCACTTTTCACAGACAAAGTCACAAAGTGCTTCACATGATAACATGAAAACAACACAAGTAAAAACAGATAAAATGCAATAAAAGCTATAATAAATAAGGAAAGAAGTTTAATATGTCAAAAAGACAATTGCATACACATTCCTATGGACTGTTCTTAGCTGATATTATTCTTGATATTGGTTGCATGCATGTCTGTTTTGGTGAATTTAATAGTGAATTCAGCAGCCATGTCTTATTAGTTTTTTTGTTTTGTTTTTTAAATTTAGACATTTTCATCATGTAAATCTGTTAGCACTATCGGCCTTAAAAAGCCTGTATAGTCTCTATTTCCACTAGTTTAACACAAATTAAAATTTATTTTGAAAATGTGTCTTTTTACTGTAACGTCTTACTCTAGATTAATGGGCTAGTCCTTGCACTTTTTTGCCCTTTGTTTTTTATTGTGTCATTGTTTTAATTGCAATTTTTATCATTTGATTTTATCCTGTATTTTTTATTCTGCTATGCACCATTTTAATTACCGTATGGTTTGTAAAGTTTCATAAATACTTTATAAAGTTTTAATATGATTTTATTGGTGGAACGCCAAGCTGATCTTATTAAGGAATTACAAAATCGGCAGCAAACACGTTCTGACTCTTGGGCCTTATTGTTTTCTATTACCCTACTGCACCTATAGTAGTAAATTATATTCCATGTAGAAAAACGTTTTCAGCCATGACGAGTTGTTGATTTTGTTATTGATGTTTAACTGCTTTCGTTTCCAGCACAAAGTCGTTTAAGCATGTGATAAGAAATCTGTTTTCATCTATGCAGTATAAATCCTGTCCACTTTTCTCACATGCTGAAGTTAATTATCTATTAAGGTGCATTTTGCGACTTTATCTTGTCCTTTGGGCCTTTTCCCTCTCTTTGGAAAATAGTAATCCTTCATATAATATCTCTCTCCATGCCTCCTAAGCCCCTTGAAATGCACCAATTATGATCCATTATCCCGGTAAGTAGAGACGATTTTAAAGGAGCAGCACCATGAACAATTTTTTATCCTAATGAGAGGAGATAAGTGAAGATAACAGAGGACTGCGAGGTAAACTTTGTGGCTGCAGTTCGAGAGGCAATTTAATTCTTTTTATATTCTTCTGATGAGGAAAATCGGTGAGGTTCTCTTTCCATTTTTTTTTCCTTTATCTATTGATTTAGACACAAACCAGATTTATGTTTTTACTCTTTTAATACCATTGGCTGCCATAGAATCAGTCGCGTATAGTGATTCGGGCATTATATCTGCCTACTAGATCATGCTGTCGCATGAAGCGACCTGTGTGGCTGTGAAACGGCCCGCTCTCAGAGGTGTCGCATGCACCCAGTGTTATGGTGAGCGATAGGCGTACACATGCACCGCTGAACGTGGTAATGCATTGGCATTAAGATCGAGAAAAAGGTCCCGACTGAGGGCTTCATTCAATGCTGCAAAGCTTTAAGTGGGAATAGGCTTCACTGGTGGCTGATATACACATCAACACAAATGGGATTAGGTTTTTCTTTATTCCCATTTTTCTTTCTTATTTTCCACTATATCAGACTCAGTATGTTTTTTTTGTTTATCTTCCTCCTACTAATATTGTTCCCTGTCAGCAGACCACAGATCCATCCTGTTGGTAACATCCTCTATATTTTTCTAGAAGAGTTGTCTTTAAAGAAGTGTGAACTACAATAAGACATGACCAGATAGAGTCCAACATCAACTGGTTTAGGTACTAGGTATATGGCAACATAGTTATTGAGCTTTTTTGTTTGTTAATTTGCTGACCTACTGTATTAATTAACCCTAGAAGTTTAACTCTACATGACATGTTTATGGCTATAGAGACAAAAAGAAAAAAACAAATTACAAAAACTCCACTCTACCATACGTCCACATTAATTAGTGGGTGATAGCAACTTCAAAAATTATATAAGGTTGCCACAGAAGCGAGGTTGGTAAGGATTTTCAAAAGCTCATAATAACAGTAAT